ACGCTTCACTTTGCGTAATAGCCCCTTCCTCGCTGCTTCCAATAGCTCCGTGTTGGCGGCAGTACTAATCGTCATTTTTGGTAATGACCTCAAATACAACGGAATACAGAAGAATGACAGTAGCCGACTTGGTCGTGGCGGTTTCACTGTCAGATCAAGTTGCCAACGGCAGCCCTGGTTAAAAAAAAAACGCGTCCACAAAATAATGCGTATATCAAGGTTACCGACATTGTGCTATCGACTTTGTCCAGCAAAGATAATGATTGCCACCTGCATTTACTAGCCGATACTTCGTCATGCAAGTAAAACTTTCTGGATTTCATAATAGGAGTCAAGTCATTCAAGACTAAACAACTGTAGCAGTTTATACTGTGGAGTCCACACTTACTCATGCTTAGAAATAATTCATGCAACTTGATAATTCTGTTATATAAGATAGCCACAAAATGGTCGCACCCAATACATGTATAAGTTAATAAGGTTTACTACATACACGAGTAGCAATTCTTATTATGTATGTCATACGTTGATATCTCACACCTGGAGTACAACTCATGCAAACGAACGTACTCGCCTGATTAAAACCCGGGTACAATTGAATAGTGTCAAACCAATGGGATCCAGAGGGCTTTATTAAGGTAGAGGACAGTTTTTTTTTTCGGATTCTACTCTTGGAGCCTATTCTCGAAGCATAGTCATTGCAATATCGCTGGGCGCATTTGTTCAAAGCGTATAGGTTAAACCGACCACACAATGACATTCAAACTTCCTGCGAGAGCCCAGCAGTAAATACTGACGACTGTTATAAGTGCTTAAAAGTTGTGGAGCAAAGTCAACAGTTGCTTAGCTGAAAGATCCAGAGCTCCCTCGCGTAAAACACGGCATCATTATATTCTTAAGAAATAAAAGTTGTGGAACCCATTTTTTTTGCTCGTGGTGTGCTCTCCATGAAACACCATGCTTTCATTTTGGACAAATTGCAAATGATCGAACGTGTGTCTACATACTTAGTAATTCTACTGCTTCCACTTCGTCACTAAGCTTTGCACTTCCTGCAAAACGAACGGCATTCAAATCAAATAAAGTTGACAGGAAATCATTGTTTGATACAAATGTCAGGTTAAATGCACCCCTTTTGTACCGTGATGATAAACAGGGTCACTCGCCCGTGTACGTGTATGATCTGATGGTGGTTCTTGGTTAATTGGGAAAGTGCCGCGTTTATCCGGGTGCTGCATCGAAGCGAGTTTTGCAGTAAAACTCGTACCAGAGACATCAGGTAAATTGGCAGACAACATCCTGTCTATGAGTATGACGCGCGTCCTGGCAAGTACACAACTGTGAGAAATTAATCTACTTCGTAAAAATTAGCCAGATGAGGACTAAAAAAATGGAGAAAGAGAAGGAAAACGTGTTTGCTATGATGAAGCCAAAATCAATGGACCGACCTACTTGTGCAACGGGCCATTCTCCTTAATCCAACGGTTCTCGTATGCTTTGTGCTTCTTGAACTGCGCTTTGATGAAGGGATTTAAGGTCTTTGTGAGCCGAGCCTTATTCGACAATTCCTGGAGTCCCATAATTTGGTACAGAATGTTCGGGTGAATCTTGGTCTTCTTGTACAGCGTGTCAAAGGAGACGTCTCTCTTCACCAACTTCTCCGCTTTCGCCCGATTCCAATTAGCTGGCAAGTCCTTGATATTTCTGACGAATTTCGAAATCGTTCTTTGTTCGTCGTCTGGGTGCTGTCTTAAGCGTCTACTGGTAACAGAGTCGTTGATGGAGTCCACAGCATTAGGTGCGGCAATGAGGAGAGTGGTCACGAGTAAGAAGAGGCAGCTAACACGCATTGTCAAGAAATGTGTCGAATCCGAAGCAAATTGGTAAATGAATGAAGAAAAGGTAAGGCCCATTCTGGGTACGAATCCTTGGGTTTTGCTAGTTTTATGTTCGCCTCACACTGCGATACATGGTACGTACCCAGAATAATTTTGGCAATTTCTGTAAATGTCCGTGTATCAATCAAAAGCGAGGGTTCGGAAATCTCAGCAGATTTATAATAGTGTTACTTCGAAGTAGATTGTGCCTGCAGATGCTGCCTCGTCAACCGAAATTCTGACCAACATCGCTGCTGCCTCCAAAAACCATTTTATCCAGTCGTAAGTTTTCTGAACACCAGCACCACTAGCAACGGCACATTCGTCTACACATTTGCCTTTGTAGTATTCACCAAAGAATAGTCCCCATCATTGCTCGCTGGTATTCCAAGATACCGTAGTCACGCGTCCTAGCAGTCAAGCAGTATATGCAATTATTAAGTTTACACTGACTATTTTAGCCTGTCGTTGCTCGCGCGTGCGGTTTCTACAAGTAGGTGTAACCGAGTAACCGATTAGTCACGAATCGAAAATGTCGTAAACACAGCCGTGAAGTGTAGTACTTCTTTTAGCATGAGCATTGTATTTTTGGATCACTCACTTTCAAGATTAGTCACTGATCGTATAAGTCGTAAACACAACTCTGGAGTTATTAATAATAACACTTCTTCTGTCATGAAACCAGGCTTTACACTGTTCATGATTTCGGACGCTGCATCGGCTCATTACACCTGCAAACAATCGCGGTCGTGCACTAAACTAAATGTCCAATCAACTCAGATACTCGTTTTCTTACTACTTTATTGACCATTTTATTATGACACAGACATCACCACCAGTTTGTGCTTAACTATTGTATGTCTGTCTAGATCCAAAAGCACTAGCTCGAGGTCGTTCCACAAGGAAATGCAATCTACATGACTGCAGTAAGCCCCAACAACAACAACCTCTTTATGCTAACCTGCAACAATACTATCAACTTCGCCATGCGGAGAGAATGATCGGCGTTGTATTTGCTATCAAAATCTACAAAGTCGATATTTCTTGCACCAAACACTTTTTTTTAGCTGGTTCCCATTTCCTTTCTCCTTATAATTACTACGCTATTTTTTCTATTAATCTTTTATGGCAAACATTTCGCTAGCAGCCAGCCTTGAGCTGGATACATACTCGAGAAGAGTGTAACAAAGAACTCGTCCTGGTCTGCAAGACTTCGACGCGAATCTCGAGCAAAGTCCACTAGCGCATCCGCTCGTCTTCCCAGCTGGAACGCGTCTTTACTCTGCAGCATTGTCTCGAGTGACTTCAAGTGTTTCTCCGTCGTGCGAGTCATCTTGAATGGAATCCGATCATCCACTCGCAACAGCGCGCCATTCCGAGTCTGTAGTCGTAGAAACACACCTGCCGCCAAGCACGAGACGTGGAACTCTACTCCATATTGCAGCGATCCACCGAGACCGATGGCCTTCATGATGCCATTGTTACGACGTGCATGGCCTAGTTCCAGTAGAAGATCGCACAGTTGGCGCAGCATCTGCTTCTTCAGCGTCGACGGGAGCACCTCCGCCAGAGGCTTGCACACGAAGTTGGTCACTTCAGCAGCCAGGAACAGCAGCTTCATCTGCGCTAACGCACTCCTTCCGACTCGAGCACGCTGCATCCAGTTCATGAGTTTCGTCAGCAGCGCCAGACTCAACGACTCGGTTAATACAGGAGCGCGACGTAGCTGCTGTAGGAAAAGAACCTGGAGAGTCAACAGCTTGCCCTGCTCTAAGCA